CCCCGTTGCCCGACAACCGACAACAGCCCTCCGCGCCGGTGCCTCTGTTGGATTTGATTGATTGATTGATTAGAAATTCCAGACGCGTCCAGCGGCTATGGTTATTAGTCCCATAAGTGTGATGCATGTTTTATCGCGGGAGGTGGCAGTTGTTTCTCCCCACTGGATGATGCGATCTGGCGGCGACCTACCGACGCCTAGCGGGATCAAGAAACTCCCGCCGGCTGGGTACCGCCCATACTGGGGCAAGCTGAAAGCTCAAGAGTGTGAAAAAAGGACAATGAAGAGGAAGGAAAGATCTCGCTTAGTGTGTAGCCAATTTGTTAGGATACTGCGCCGCCATTCGCCTGGTACTGATCCGAAAAAACAGGGAACATTACCGACCAGAGCAGTCTGCCGTTATAATTCTCTTCCGAACGACTGAACTCGAGCTAGCCAGTGGCGAAAATCCTGCCACCATCAGGACACGATCCTAGGACCTCCAGATCAGAGGCACTGTAGAGATATCAGTTGATACCCTGAACCACCTCTCCCGCTGCTCTGTTGGGAGACCCACTGCCTGGGCGATAAGTTGAAAGAGCCGTATCACCAGTGTATCCCGCGGTCAACATTTCCTAAGCCTAATACCCACCTCACCAAGAAGGCATACCCCGATTTCATTCCGTTCACGTTTCGCCGTGAGTACAAGGAAAAGCTGTCCTGTTTATCATTGCTTCGAAAATTACCTTTCGTTTACATATTTAAAGAAAATGAAAGAGGAACATAATAAATAATGTTTCTTTTAATATTGTATTTTGCTTCAAAGCTTGCTATTTCGGAATTTAACTGTTTTGAATATTCTTCATTTATTGAAACTGACTTCCAGACATACTGTGGTATGCTCCAAGCAGAAACAAATGGTCCATGGTCTTCCCTAATACAATGCAGAAGTCAATAATTATATTTTAATTAGATAAATTCATTGTTCTGAAGATTCTGCTACAAAATTTTGAAATCATCTACTTGTTTCACTCATGAATGGAACTTATCTGTGTCTTCCTTCCCACGCCCAAAATACTGACCGGTTTGCTATCAGGGTTTATCTTCAGAGGCAGAAGTGAAAGGCGAAGAGACGCTGCCGTGAGGGAAACCTGATCGCGGGATGCAAAAGGAGGATTCCCAGTTGAAAGATGTAACGCATTTATTCGGCAAATATATCTGTATACTCGTACCTCAGGTTTTTTTCAACATTTATATTATGTAGATAATATAAATTCGACCTAAATCTTAATTTTAAATAAATATTGCTCTATTTTTATGTTTTTTCAAAATTTACAAAAAAGTAATTTTTGACTTGTCTCTCACGCCGTTAATATTTACATTAGTGACAATTTGTTCACAAGATTTTATTTATAAGTACATGTGCTTAAAATAGTGTCAGATAAAGCTTCTCGAAAACTCAACCGTTTTCTGTCAAAACTAACTCAAAATTTCAAATTTTCAGAAACTCTCAAACATCATTTTCTCAAAATTGGATTTTAATTTTTTCTTCAAACTTTACGAAAGAATTGTGCTAATTACAAGATCATTCGGGGTATTTTTTATTTTTTCAAAAATTTCACAAATGTAGTTTTTTGAAAGATCTCTTACGCCGGTAATATGCACATTTGCAGCAATTTGCATGCACTATTGTATTTCTGTGTTAGTGCTTCAAATGGCTTCAACTGAAGGTTTTATAAAACTCAAAACGTTGCTGTGAAAAAGAGCTTCAAATTTCGCATTTACTGGAACACATAGCGCCATTTCTTAAAAAACCCTCGAAATTTTTCAAAGAAAATTGCCATTTAGGAAGAGGTTTTACCGTTATTTAATATTCTTAAAATAATATTTTCGTTCTACAATTAAAAAACCGAAAACATTAAGAAAATGTCAAAAAAATATTCTTTGAGTGTCGATAGTTGGCAGCAGGCATGAATATGAAGCAAGTTCGAATAGCTAGCCGAGACCAAAGGAAATTCAAAACTAATACGGGTATCTGTGCTATTCTATAGTACCACTATTTTATGTATGATTATTTGCATATTGAACTGAAAAATTGTGCAAGAGCTATTAGTATTTTTTAAGAAAAAATATTCTCCCCTCTTTATATTATTTCTGCAGCTACCACTTGATTACTGATCTTTTGTCATCTGTGCTTTATACATCAATTAGTAACTAGTGATGTACAAAAATGAGAGATATTCATTCACAAAATCAGTGACGAATTCACTGGTCAAATGCTCCGAATATAGTTGGGAAGACAATTTAGATCTAGCCTCCATTTTATATCAACTCGTCTAATTTCATTTTAAATTTTACATACTGAATTGACCGAATGCAATTAATTGATTTAATGTAGACGTTGAATGTAAATCTCAAACTACAGCTCGTATTTCAAACGCGGCTGATTCCATGAGGGCGCCCCGACGAGACCCTGTATCGAAAACAAAGCTGTTCAAACACACGCAGGCGAATGGCAGTGAAACGAATTTCGTGCACGCCCCGCGAACGAGGTGCTTTACCTGCGCCGCAACCACTGACGGAGCTTTCACTGGGCAAACGAGTAGCGCTAACGAATCGCCGTGCAATTTCCTCCTTGTTCGCCGAAGAACTACGGGGCGGGATCTGAAAAGAGAGTGCACCCACCCTCAGAGCTGAGGTTCCAATTCTCCGCACTCGAACGACAGCATTTCTTACTCGAAAATTATGCATTACACCGGACTTTGACTCACCATAGTATTAAAAACATGTTAATATGATAAGCTTTAAGTTGAATAGTGATTTGATGTGTAAAACAAATTGAAATACACTGTGATGTGACCATTTTTTGATTGGTTGGAAATGAGTTCTTTCGATAGCGAAAACATAGAGGGATGCTTCACACCCCGAAATAGCAGAGTGGGCGGAGGGGGGGAGCAAATTTAATCTAGGAGCATGAAGATGAAAGAAACATTACTGTACCTGTCAGAACGTGTTGCGCACAAAATAATTTTATCTCTGAATCTGTTTAATTAAAAAAGAAACAATTTTTTGCAATTTTCAAATCCAACAGGTCACGAAGAATAATTCAATATTAGAATAAACGACGTTTAATTTTTTTTATTATTTATTAACAATTATTATTGAATCAAATTTGCGATTGCTTAAACGAGAGTATAGTATATGGAAGTATACGAGAGTATTTTGCAAGTGGTTCTTGAGCAGTGTATGTGCCACTTTTGGAAAATCATTTAGTGTGATTTCGTTCAGCAGAATTTTTGCCGCTGCATTGCACTAGTAGTTCAGTATTCAGTATATTAATTCTAATCAATTTTTACTTTCCCGTATACGTACGTATATACAAAATATGTACGTAGTGTAGGAAAAAATATGTATAGCTGCAGTAGATCGATTTCGAGATTTCAACGGAAATACACGTTTTGAGATCCCCTGATACCGAAAAAGTGTTTTTTATCAAAACGCCTGTCTGTCCGTCCGTCTGTCCGTCCGTCCGTCCATCCGTCCGTCCGTCTGTTCGTCTGTCTGATGTTCAATGATTTGTAAACACTGTTGTGTTTGTGACTGAAAGTGCTTGAAATGACTTAATTTGAAGTTTTTCGTAAAGTCTAGAGATTTCTGTGAAAAGAGGATCAAATTTTCATTTGCCATTTTCTTAGAAACGAAACCAAATTTTACATAGAAAATTGCCATTTATGACGAGGTTTCACTGTTCCTTAATATTATTAAAGAAATATTTCCGTTCTACAGTTATGAAACTGAAAAATTAAGAAAATGTCAAAAAAATAGTATTTGATCGTCGATAGATGGCAGCAGGCAAGTGTATGTGGCAAGTCTGAGCAGCTAGCCGAGAGAAAAAAACTAATATGGGAAAGTCTGTGCAATTCTGTTGCAGCCCTAGTTTGTATTCACAATTCCAATAGTGTTTAATATATATTGTTTTTACAAATTTTATTTGCTTCCTCTCTTTTGAACTGGTAAAACTCTTGTTTTAGTGTGTATTATAAATATTGGATTACAAATTTTGTTAATCATATCGGTTCTTTAAGTTTAAGTTGAATGGACATATCTACAGAATAAATGATGGTAGACTAATAAATAAAGACCTACTGCAACAACGGTTAAAGGAAGACCGAAGACAAGATGGAAAAATGATGTCATAAATGATCTCAAGGGTATGAAAATAAGAAAGTGGATCGTACAAGTGAACAGCAGAAAGGAAATGAAGACCATGTGAAGCATGAGAATTCAATTGATACCCACAGTATGAGAATAAGTGGAAAAACACAATCAAATATATAGAATGACTTATGAGTTCCTGGGTATCTAACAAAACTATAGACACATTTCACACGATCGGAGGCGGCATAATTTGTTTAGATTTAATGGATGGACAATAGAATATGATACTGTGATAAACATTAAGTAATTTTAATTTAAAATTTTCGTAAATGTGTCTCATATTGAAATTACAAGTACAATTTTGGGTACTGAAATGAGTATTTCCAAAATCTAAATATATGCCACTTAATATTCCAGTTTAGCTGAACCAATATACCTGAGATAGGACGAACTTTTTCCCCAAACAGAAGAAATAGGAGGGGGGCGATTGAACGCATGTGATGCAGTAACGGAATCTCGTATTGTTAAACATTTGTTTCGCAGTTCTAGAGTTTTACTGAGTTTACTCTCCACTTCACATTAACTTAACATTTCTTTTTTGATTCAGTTCTTAATTGCATTTTGATATCAAACTCATGAATACAAACATTTTTCTACGAAGTTGTATCAGTGAATGATATACTGACTTGCAATACATTTTGGTTGAATATCGCGGAAATATTTTTTTTCTCTTTTCTGGTCCTGGGCCATTTGTATATTCGATTTATTTCTTTTAGCTACGCGGTAACTTGGGCAGCAATATGCATTTGGACTTATTGAGCGATCCTTATTGAATCTCGTGGCGGCGGGAGCAATCTCGACTGATGGGCGCTAATGCTAATTGGAGCTGGAAACCTCGAATCCCCAGCGGCGGCGGCGGCGGCCTCTCGCAGAACGCTGTTTGCGGACGGAGCCGCCTTGTCCTCGTTCTCCATCAGCCCCTCCCCATTTCGACATGAAGCGATCCGCGCCCCCACCACGCCGACCTCCCACCGGCCACCCTAATGCCTCCACTACCCTCCCATTCCAAAACCGCTGCCCTCTCGCCTCCGCCAACGTATCCCCTCCGCCGACTTCCCGCTGCCACCAATCGCACGACTCTTTCGCCCACCTCTTCCCATCCCGCCGCACTATCCCCAACCAGCTACCCTTCCCCTCATTCATTCCCACATTCGCCGCCTTCATGCCCTCCTCCACCCTCGCATTCCCACACGCGCACTCTCGTCCCTGCACCGCCCCAGCCCGACCCGCTGCCCTGTTCGCCTCTCGCTGCCGTCGCCCCTCCAACCCCAGATCACGCCCACCTGCACCCCACTGTTCTCCGTCCTCACTGCTCCCGCCCCTAGTACCTCCCGCCCCTCCGCCATCCCTCTTGCCCCCCTTCCGTCCCGCAGCAACCTCTCCCTTCTTCTCCCCCCGCTGAAATTCCGCCCAGGGTCCCCAGCACCCTTCCGTCTCCGCCATCCTCCCGCCTGCCCACTCCCACTGGGAGCGCGGCTTCCCGCGGTATATTCATCGAGCCCATTGTAGAGCACGAAATTATTTAATGAGTTGTACGTCAATAATGTATATCGTACATCTATGTGGAAAGTGCATGCAACACCTTTGCTCTCAAAATCTTTCAAGAACCATTATGATTGAATTAGAAGTTGTTTAAGTTTAGGTCGCAGGTATCGAATATATCCTTTTCCAAGATAAATAATTGTGCACTTGTGTCTAAATTTGGTTCTCATATGAGTTCGTTATTAATATTTCCTATCCTGTGAATTCTGATTACCTGTTATTTTTGACGCTTTAAAAACATTCATTACTACAGAAATTCAAATAACACTGTTTGACAGTAATAGCGTTTTTGGATAATATGCTTTCTGTGTAGGTAATACAGGTGCCAAGAAAAGAGAAAATTTGAAATTCTGTAGACCTAAGTAATAAATTAACGATTAAAAATCCTCTTCGAGAAAGCGATTCCTGATCAAATGGTACCATTCAATCCGCATCAGTTATTTGAGAACTAGTGAGAATCGCGCAAATAAAAATTTGCTAATTGACGATTTGACAAGTGGTAATGATATAAGCATGTGGAACAAAGCCACACATCGGATCTACGAGAAGTTTATGTAAAAGTGGATACATGCATCCCACCGGGTTAAGAGATGATGGATGCCGAGTGAGGATTCTTCATGCAGTTTTCGTGCATGTGACATACTTCTCATAGTGTTTACTTTTTCCATAGATGGACAAAAGAATTTGAACTGTTAACCGAACTTCATTCTGCAAATCGTCGATCTTGCCGAATGATGTTGTGATCAAAGTGGTCAAAAACCTGGAATTCGCAATGTGGAACATTAGGAATACACAAAGGATGTGATTATTGCATATAAATAGCTTTTTCTGCGATTTAGATGGGAATACTTCAAAATAATCCCCATACAGACAAAAACTTTGGAAAGAGAAAATATTTCTGAATGAAACCTTAATTAACAACTGACGATAAAGTCGGCCGGAAGGACACTTATTAAAGGAGTAATAGCGATCTGTTTTGCTGTTCTTGCAATATATTAAAAAATAAATAACTTCTTCAGTAAATAAAGACCTGATAAAATCTGAGCCAATTAATATATCCGTCCGTAATGAAAACTGTAATTGTTAGTGAAATCGTTCATTATTTTTTTAAAATCTGGTAAGTTATTTAGGCTTAGTTTCAATATATTTCTTCATAAATTCTACGCAGATAATTATAACAATATGATAATAACGACATCTGCATTCTATTTCATATATCTCACATATTTCATCCTAATGAAAAAACAAATAATAGCGTAAAATGTGATTTTACTCAATATTCAATGTACAGAATTATTACTCCCCAGGTACAAAACTGAGTTTCTGAACGAAATGTAAAGAAATGTTCGATCATTTGATATTCAACCTCTACCGGGCGAAGTATCCTCATAAATATCTGATACTTCATTTCTGGTTTTCTGCCGAATTGGAATTTTTTTTGTTTGACCTCTCAATCTCATCTACTTCCAATTTCTTCCTGTGAGCGCTAGCAGCGACGGCCGAGCGGCGCACAGTAGGTTGCGATGTACTCAAATGCGCGCATTGGCTTTCGCACGCTGTTAGGTACAAATATCTGCATGAAATGTGCATGCAGGTCACAGCAATTTACTTGAAGTTCTAAAGCAACGAGAAAATTAAGACAAATTACAGATGGATCCACCTTAATATTAAATTACTTTCATTATAATAAATTTCGTGTGGTTAGACGATTTATTGTTTATTTATTATGTAATTAGTATGTATAACTTCTAAGTATATTTGTATATCTATTCTACTGGAAAGGTTCTGTATTATGACTAAAAACAATTAGGAACTGTATCTATTATTTTTTGCACTGAATTGAAATTCGGTAACATTTTCAATTTTTTGGAGGATTAGTTGAAATTTTGATAAGATGTGTTGAACCTCAATTGAGTGAAAATTGGGGTTTTCTTACCACTTAACCCTTTTTCAAATGGCTGTATATTTCACTGTCACCGATGATCGCAGCTGCATTTACGCTTACAATGTAGTTCATTAAATAGACATATGTTGTGTAAATATCCCAGTTTGAAACTCTGACCAACGAAAAATTATGATAATTTTCAATACGATATAATTTCTCATCAAATTGACATTTTTTAATATTTTTCCATCTCCAAGAGCTCATATAACTTCTCACTAAAATAATGTGAATATATTTTTTTGTGTGAAATTCTGTTGGCATGCTGTTTTAATGTGATATCAAAAGACAGTACAAAACATCACATTGGATAAATGGGCTACTAAACAGCATAATGTTTCGTCGTGAGCTTTGTTCTTCCAATGCGCCGCTTGCAGCCCAGTGTGCGGCGCCGCGGGGGGCGTTCGCTTTTTGCGGCAACCGCCGCAGCCCCCAGCGCTCTTGTTCCGGCGCCGCCCACGCGCACTCGGCCGCCCGCAATCGAATGCAAGTTCCACGCCGGTGCCACCACCCACGCCCCCGCCGCCCCCACGCCGCCACCGTTTGCGTCCCTTACCATCCCCGCGCCGCCACGCCGGGCCCCCTTTTATCACCCTTTGCGCCCCTGTCTCTCCCTGCCCCATGTCTCTCCCCGCTTCCCACACCGCTGCAATTGCGTCATCATCCCCCCCCCGGCCACTTCTACGCCAATCAGCCTTGTTGCGTACCAGTCCCGTCCCCACCCGCCCTCGCGGATCTCTTGAAAACCGCCCTCCCCGTCCTCTTCGCACTCGTCCGCCCCTTCACCCCCGTGCTCTCCCCGCTTCCCCTCCGCTGCGATCGCGCTCACCATTACACGCTCGCAGTCCCTACGCCTCCACTCTGTTGCGTCCCGTACCATCGCCACCCACTCACATCAGTTCTACTTTTATCATCCTTTGCTACCCCTTCTATCTTCCTCCCCTCCCCACTTCACCCTCTCCCCGCTTCGCTAAAGCTGCGTCCGCGCTCATCATCATTTCGCTCCCGCCACCGCCATGCCACGACCTTCTGGCGTCCCGCTCCCATAAACACTCCGCCACTTTTCTCCTCCTCCCCTCCCTCGTCCTCTCACCGCTTTCATGCCACTTCGACCGCGCTCACCATCACGTCCCCTCCACCCCACGCCCCCACGCAGTTCGGTCTCGGCTTCGTCCACGCCGCTGCCCTTTTCATCATCCTTCTCTCCTCCGCCCCTCCCCGTCTCATACCCTCAGTCTCTCCCCAACCACCAGAGCCACTCTCCCACGGCATTTTCTGCTCCATCCCCTGCAGCTCCGGACTTCTGGTCGCCCCCCACCGCGCCCGCCCTGACCACTTCCATTTGTCTCGTCGCCAGCATTATCATTCCATTTCAATGTTTTTTAGTGCTAGCGTCATTTTAAAGCCAAAACCAAACTCTCACTGTCTCCAGTTAACCGCATTTTATTACCAATATTCGTTATTAATACAAAGGAGTGTAACATTTCAAATTTTGTTGAAATAGTGCGTGGGAGTCATTGAATGAGTGTGAAGAAATGGCTGTGGTTTCCCTATTGACATACATTTTTATTTTAAAGCTTTAGCGTTAATTGAGTGGAAACTCTCTCAAAGTTTATTAAATTATTAATTACTACATCAAATGTTTATTTACGCGTAAATGTATATTTCCAATCGCTTATCTTAGATTAATTCATAAACATTTTAAATCACATCAGATGGAAATAAATCGTATTCATTAATAATTAACTGCAGTTTGTGTTATCATATCGAGCCTTTTGAATATTTTAAGTCTTTTAGGTATTAACTCTGTATGTTGCTACCGTGGTTCGCCACAATGAAATATTCTCGTGGGTATTTTTAAAAGAAAAACTTAGCATTGGAATATCACAAATAACTGCTAATAATACTTTTAGAGCATCCATCTGCTTTAAATATAAATGTACGGTCACTACCTTTCTGATTGACTATTGCTCTCCAAACATTATAAAATTTACATTTACGTACATTTAGGTACATTTTTTGACCAGAATGTTATTTTTAGAAAAAAACACACTGAAATGATCCCATTGGGAAAAAAAATTGAACAGGCAAATGGAAAGACATGTAAAAGAATTTGAATAAATGACTTCTGTAATCATTCAGAAATTGTCCTACGAATATGAGAATGGCATTCCACATGTTTTACGATCAATGCATAACGCACTTCGTTTGGAATACCATGCACTCAGGATCAATTACATCAAGACACGTTTCACGCCGTATGGCACTTGCAGAGGTGCGATGAACAAGTGATGGAGTCATCGCCGAGGTGAACATGCATTTGGAATATGCAATCGGCTCGGTGGGTCTGGCCCGTGAACTGCACTCAACAAGCGATCAGCATTTACGCGTCCG